CTGTGTCACTCATGTAGAACCAGTTGGCCTGGGCGGTCCCCCGGTTAGAGGCACCGTCTCCACGCTTCCCGCCTCTCCTCGCCTCGGCCTGGAAGCGAGGGCCGCTGGCCGTCCCCGCCCAGCCTCCGCGTCCCTTCCCAGAATTACCCTCGCTCTGCATCGCACACGCATATTTACCCCCTTTCAATCTGTTTTGCTAAACAAATTAATTCCGCACCAGATTCCATGAGGAGGAACCGCACATCTTCTCCAAGATCACATCTGCTGAGTTGGAGCAGCGACATCCCATGTCCTGGGAACTGATTCGCGCTTCCTTTAGTCACCACAGACGAAATGGGGGGTAAAGGGGGACTGGGGTTCCATCCGCATCTACACAGTCAGGGCCGTGGGCCAAGGGGTGACAGGAACCGAGGCGGCAGCCCTCACTTCATCACCATGACGGCGTGTGAGCTCATTGAGATGAAAACGGAGGCGCCTGGCACAGAGAGGATGGACTGCAGGCCCCTGGGCCCTGCACTTGACCCCTGCCCTCGTGTCTGCTTCCTGGCTGGCTGGCTGGCAGGCCATGGCCAGTATGTGGACGGACAGGGGTGGGGGTGGGGGTCAGCCGTGCCCAGCCCTGCGGGCGCGTTCCCGTGAGGCACCCAGGCTCCCGGCCCTGCCCTCGCCCCAGAGGGAGCAGGTTCCGCGTTCATCGTGTGTCGCTCTCTAGGGAAGAGAGTGAGTGGGAAGCCACAGCTCCCTTGTCCGGGGAAGGGCGAAAGTAGGCCACGGAACAAAAGCCACACATACCACACAGCCCGTCCAGCTGCTGGCCACGGCCGGCCTGCCAGCCGGGACACAGTGACGAGGGCAGGGGTCAAGTGCAGGGGACACCGGCCAGGTCTGCCAACGGACCCCGGGGAGCAACCCCTCCCCTCCTGGGTTCTGAATGGACCCGCCAGGGCCCCAGGAGCCCCCAAACCTTAGGACGTGCAGAGCAAGCCGGGTGTGGAGGAGGCTGCTGCCCCCCGCCCCCTGCTCTGAGCTCATGCCCTGGACACGGCACCCCCCCTTTTCCTAAGTCAGCAAGCACGGCTGCTTGTCGCACACACAGGTCCCACCTATGCACGTGAGTCGTGGAGAGGCCTGGGCAAGGGAAGCTGGAGGCAGCTGGGACGGAGGTCCCCTACTCCGCTGTCCTTGCAGCCATGCGGTGGGGACACGCGGGTGGCCACAGGGGGAGAGACGGGCCTGGGCACACGAGACCTCTAGCCCTCCTCCTCGGAAGCCATCGGAGGACGCAGTGCAGGCGGAGCAGGAGGAGGAAACCTCGCTGCAGGAGGCACTCCCAGCCCGGCACCCAGCACCAGGGGCCGAGGACCGGACCCCCCAGCCGCGCCCACCTGAGCAGCCCCAGCTGCCCCCGCCCACGGGGGGCCTTTCCTTCCCGCCGGGGCCCCTCTTCGTCTAAACTGAGCCTTCATCAGCCCGTCGGGCAGCGGCCACCTGCAGAGCCACGCCCTGAAGGAATCTGAAGGCACCTGGACCAGCCGCTCCGGTCCGGGGGAGGGGGAGCCGGCGGCCCAGCACCCGCTCCAGGCCGTTCCCTCCGCCTATACTTGCCGCACGTTCGTGGGCACAGCGCTCTCTCCCAGGTGCCCCGCACCGCTCCTGGCCCCGTGCCTGTGCCTTCGCTTTAGGTTCTGCCACACACAGTCCCACCCAGAAGCATCGCCCAGGCCAGCTCAGCACCCTGCCCCCCAGCCATGCCCCCAGGAAATCCCTCACCCCGTGCGAACCCCAACCAGAAAAGCAGGGGCGTACCTGAGGTCTCCCCCAGAATCCGCGGGGGCTTGGTGTCTTTGCCGCTGTCTCTGCTGGGGCTGGTGGAAGGCTCCGTGGTGCTGAGCCCAGCCGGGACCCTGTTCCTGGGGTCCAGGGGCGCGGTGACCCCCCTAGTCTGCAGCGTCAGGGCGGTGGCCGTGGTGGCCGTGGCGACGGTGGTGGCCGTGGCCGTGGTGGTCTTCCGCGTCTGGAAGTAGGAGACGGTGGTGGGGCCATCGGGAATCGTGTTGGCCGCCAGGGCCTCCTCCTCCCCCGTGGGCCCCCACGCGATGAACTCGGCCTCCGTGGTGGGCCTGCTGCCGCGGAGGTGCA